CCCTTCTGAGATGTTTGCCATGTCCACATTCCTTCTGTGGGCTAAGCTGCCTCTTATCTGACAGTTGCCTTGACTGCTCTCCTCCTCCTGTCTCTCAAGGTCATTCTTACAGACCATTACATCTGTTCCTCTTAAACCTGTAAGGTCAGCACCACTTGTCAGCCTCATTCCTGAGACAGAATAGAGCTGAACTGCTGGGACGGAGCCATTAATGTCAGTATACTTTGCTGCTGACACAAGGACTGGAAGATAGGATGTTAACAAGGCCAGGACCATGAGCCCAGATCTCTCCCTGCTAATGGGGACTGCATCCTGGCAGATTCTGCATAGGGTCAGGCTACTCACCTGCTTCCTTTGAAAGCCTGGCGTAAGTTCCAACAGCCACCATGAGTCCACTGGCTACCTTGAAGGAGGAAACACAAAGCCGCTTCCAACATCTCGTTTGCCCCAAAGCCCTCCCCTGAACACTAACGGGTTTGCTAAGGAAGAAGAGCCTGCCTGACCCAGCATTCCCACGGCTTCAGAGAGAAGATGATGGGCTGTGGGGCATTTGGGACACCACCCCTGGTGGGCAGCCTTCCTGGGAACCAGTGGCTTTCCCTGTCAAAGCCAAAGCAAATTCCAGCATGGCCAAACATTCACCCCTTTGACTCACCCAGAAGAGGTAGCAGGAAGTAAAGAGAGTGTATTTCATGATCTGGTTGGTACGCATGGCTCACAGCTGCCTGCTTGTCTCTGTCCTGTGCTGCAGATTCATGCACCCGTTTCTCAGTCTTGGAGGGCAGCCTGCAAGGACTTGGGGGAGGGCTTCAGGATCAGGGCTGGGGGGAGCCATACAGGTTCTGGCTCATGGCTCCAATCACTGCTCTTGGATAGGAGTCCGAGGCAGGGGAAAAGATCCCGCAAGGAGATGGCAGGGCGTGGTGGGGATATGGAGAAGGGAGAAGGGACGGCTGCCTGCCTGTTCAGGCTGCGTCAGAGGCAAGCCTTGGCTTGATCCTGGCTTGGCACCAGGGTGAGTTTTGAGGGCCCTGTTTTGGGGGCAAGCATTCAGAGAAGGATGCAGCCACAGCGGAAGAAGGAAAAGTGCCTAGTTAGGCCATTTGGCCTCTCTGGCAGAGAAGGAATAAATGTTAACTGCCTGAGATCTTCTTTCCTCCTTGGTCCAGATTTATCTCTTGTCACATAAAGCTAATTCCACAATTTTGCCCAGCCGACAACTTTCTGTAGAAATTAACTTGCTGTTTTTAATAGGACTTTATGACCGGAGGGGTGGAGTTAGGTCCGTCTGTGGACAGGAATTTTTCCTGTCTCGCTCTGGAGTTTGCGGTACTTTGAATAACTTAGGCACTTTAGCCAAGAGTTAAGCCAAGAAAGCATGGCTGAGAGGATTCTTGACTCCCCCAGGCGGCGTTTCGTCATCTAGCACCCAAAAACAGGTTTGCTTGTTTTTTAGGCAGACTGCCAGACTCCCAACACAGCCATTCCCCACCCCTTCCCCTGGCTTCCTTTCTGGCAAAGAAATTCAAAGAATCTCCGAAAGAACTAATTATTGGATTATTGTTGTTTTGGATTATACAATCAAAACCACCTTCCTGCTTTGGATTACAGCTATGTTTATTTTGATTATCTTATTAACTGATTCTGAGCTATGCTGATACGGTGGGAAGAGAGGAAAAAAGAAAGAGAGAGGGGACTGGATTGCAGCAACAAATGGCTGGTGGTGGGAATAACTTTTTCAATTTTGTGATTAGAACACATTCTAATTATCATTTTTAAACTTTAAACTCAGAAATTATAATTTGTGTCCTGACATTGTTTATAGTCAGTTTAAGCAATTTTGCGTCATCCATGACCCACAGTTTCCTCTTTTTCTTTACAAAATCGGCATCTGAAGATGTTTGAGACAGGTTTAAATCCTTGCTGTTTGTTTGCTTGTTTATTAGTGGTAACATCACTATTATTATTTGGATCTGCGAAAATTCTGCCAGAAGTACAGGAATCCAAACTCTGGAGACTTGCAGCACGCAAGCACTAGAGGGCGCTCCTGGGTTAGTGCAGGCTGCCTGGAAGGGTGGTCTGTGGCCAGGTTTCCCACTCGTTGCGCGTCATTCATAAAGGTTATTGCAGTGGGTGGGATCCAATATTCTGGAGGCTTTTGTGCTTGAATACAGCAATCTGAATTCCCTTGGCAAATTCAGTTACAGATTGGTCTCCTTGCAAGGGAAGAATGCTGGTGCATGTGTTTAGAGGAGATATTTTTTAGGAGTGTGTGAGAGAGGTGGGTGGATGGATAAATAATAGGTAGAGAGATGGAGAGATGGAGAGATAAATTAGGTAGGTAGGTAGGTAGGTAGGTAGGTAGGTAGGTAGGTAGGTAGGTAGGTAGGTAGGTAGGTAGGTAGGTAGGTAGGTAGGTAGGTAGGTAGGTAGGTAGGTAGGTAGGTAGGTAGGTAGGTAGGTAGGTAGGTAGGTAGGTAGGTAGGTAGGTAGGTAGGTAGGTAGGTAGGTAGGTAGGTAGGTAGGTAGGTAGGTAGGTAGGTAGGTAGGTAGATAGATAGATAGATAGGAGAGAGAGAGAAAGAGAGAAGATAGATCTGAGCAAGTAAAGGTAGGTTCAGAAAAGGCTGAGCTGAATCAACAGCAAAGTATTGGTAGGGTTTTTTTCCCACCTGCCATGGCCCCAAAGTCTGTTTCTTGCCAGCAAGTTCAGATCCTGTTGGCTTTATTAGAATGGTTAGAAGAAGCATGTTGATAGATGGAGCCATGTTAGATCTGATCCAGTTCAGGCTTGCTTGCTAAAATGAATTAGGTTGATTTATGCAGGAGGAGGAGATGCTGATCAATGGCCATGACAGCTAAATAGATCCTCCATAAGCAGCAGCAGAAAGAGAAAAGAAGAAAGAGGGGCAAGAAAAGAAAGGAAAAAACACCCTAATGTTATGGAATATATGACTTCCGACCTTCTCTTCAACAGTTATTAAATGGTTTATAGTTTGTGATGAATGAATCCAGATAATTCCCATTTGTTAAACAAGCCGTGATATAGCATACTCCTTTCATTAGCATCACATAACATTCTGAGGTTTTCCTACCATCTTCTTTGATTCAAAGCTGCTGCCTCCTGAACATCTGCATTCTTCTCCATGCTAAGCAGGCAGATATGCTACACTCTCCACAGCCTTTCTCCCCAAGGGCAGAAGAGGAAAGACTGTGGGTAAGTGGGGGCAGTGGGAGAGATCAACACTTGGCTTGAGTTTGGAAGCCTCAGAAATTGGTAGCTCAGTCATCTGTTGCTTCCTGAGTTTCTTCCAAAAGCCACCTAGATAAGCCATTCCAGAAGAAGGTGGCTTTCTTTTTGCCTTGCATTTCTTGGTGTGCTGAACTCAATGGAAATCATGCAGGGAGGGAGGGCAGGAGAGGATAGAGCTACCCAGATTGACATTGCAAGATTGAGGCCTCTTTCCAGATTAAATTGCTGCTAAATTTAGCCCTCTTGAGCCACCAGATGCAGTTGCCTATGACATGGGTAGGCAGGGAGGTGCTGATTTTGCATTTTGGAGCTGGGGACATTCTGCCCAGGACATCAGAAGCAGTATTCCTGGGCATATCAAATCTCTGGAAAGACATGGATTCTTTTCTAGTTCAGAGTTAGATCAAAGGCATCAAGCAAGGGTCTGAGGGAGCCAGGGTGGCCACCAGACCTGTAAAAAATGTAAGGCAATCTTACAGATGGGTGGCACGACAACGCCCTGAGTCCTTGCAGGACTCAAGTGCTTCCTTTCTGAGCACTAGGATCCCAAGGCGGAATTCCGTCTTTCTACCTCCATGTTTTCCACTAAGCTTTATATGGCAGGCTGAAAGAACTTGGGATAGAAGAAAAGACTGTTTAGGTACATAAAGAGTGCTACTGGTCTTTTTCAAGGCCACAGAAACCAAGGCCAGAAATAACAAACATAAGTTACTTAGATGTTGTGTAAATATAAGGAAAAACATCTTGATGGTACCACAGTGGAACAGTCTACCTATGGAGGCTGTGGGTTCTCCATCTCTGGAGGTTTTTAAAAAGAGGCTGGACAGCCCCTCTCATGCATTGGTTTTCCTGCACACAGCAGAGGGTTGGACTGGATGATCCTTGTGATCACTTCCAACTCTACAATTTATGCTTCTATATCCCACAGAAGCATATGCTCTGCCTATCGAGATATTGCCATGTTTGGTTCTCCATGTTAGAAACAAGGAAATCACTAGCAGTTATCAGATCTGGGCTGAAGTCATCCAGACAGGTACATCAGTTTACTATCAGGTAGTAAACTGATACATGAACATGTAATTTTTTGCTGCTAGTAGTCATCTGGATTTTTGCAGCCCAGGTTTTATAACCCTAGACTTGCAAGTTGTGTCCCAACAGCACTTTGAGTATGCAATTGCTTATGGATTTTGTTGCTGTTCAGTCGTTAAGTCGTATCCGACTCTTCGCGACCCTATGAACCATATCGCGCCAGGCCTTCCTGTCCTTTGCTTATGGATAGAATTATTATTAATTCATTAATTAAAATTGTATGTTGCCCAATTTCCAATGACTCTGGGTGGCTCACAAGTAAAAACACTGAAAACAAGGAAAAAACATACAGTAACAGACAAAAATAAAAGAATTTAAAAAGCCAGGGGAAGACTATGGTAATTTCCCCACTAGTAACTTATAGCCATTATGGAAGAGATATAAAGGGTCTCTTAAGCCTTGGAAAAGCTACCTCTTTCTACCCCTCCAAAGTGTGACCCCAAATTTGACCCACCCATTCCAGTAACTGAATGACATCACCAACCACACATATCTTTTGATTCAGACAGAGATACAGATGAAAAGATAAAATATTGGTAAACTTGTCATGACTTCCCTCAAGATTGCACCAAACCCAGAAGAATCCTGCACTCTTGGACACAATGATCGCTTGGAGAAGTGTGGGAAGCAGAACAAGGTATTTCTAATATGTTTATTTACAAAATAACAGAGCGTTTGGGAAATACTCTGCACCACCTGTACAATTTCATAATTTGAAGTGAGCGTGAACTGAATGGAAATCACAGGAACCTTAGTCCAATGTGTCTGAAGAGCATTTGAGAAGGCTGTCCTGGTGGAATAATAAAAGAACTGCTGTAACTATATAAGTAAGATTATTACAACAGAGGACAATTAAAAAAAAAATAGCAGCTTTCCCTGTGTAAGCCATTTGCAAAATATGATAGTGCCAGGCATGGAAAAAAGGGCTTTAGGAAGAAGGGGGAGACTGAGGAGGTAAATCTGTGGTTTCAGGCTAAACACTTTCCTCCAAATTCTCTTGCAAATCTTGATCATCTGCACTGGGCCCTATCTGAACAGGAAGAGGCTGAGATGCAGCCCTGCAGCTAAAAAATTGCTGCAAACAAGTGCCAAGAAAAAGAAAACTATCACAGAGGAAACTGTATAGCCATAATCTGTGAATGGAGAAATTTAGATGGCCTCTGGGAGACTAAAAGAATTCAGATAATGGCCAACTCTTGGATTAGAGGAAGAAAATCCACTGTGAATCCCTGAAATCTGGTATTCCCGTCCCATCCCATCCTTCCACTTGATCTCATCTTCAGAACCAAAGAAACATTTATTGCATCTTAACTTCTTCCTTCCAGTACTGTGAAGACATTAAGACAGAAGTGTACAAAGCATGTGCACAATTCTCCACATCAGTTACATCACAGAGGCTTTTTATTTTAAGAATGGCTGTATCCACAAAACCATGGCTGTTCTGGCCATGGATAAAAATCCAGGGAAAAAAGAAAAGGGGATGGGGCAGAGATTTTCTAAGGAAAAGGCACTTTTTAAAAAATAAGATGCTATATTTTTAACAAAGAAGTATATATCTTGGAGAAGGAAGTGTTCTCCAAGGCTCTTCTGCCTCTTCATGTCAATCAGTTCCTTCTCTTGGTGATGTCCAACAGGAGAAAAGGAAATCCAGGGCTTTCTGTTTCTGGATGGCTATTCCCACTCCTCACAAGTCATGGAGCTCTTCCCTCTGGGTCCTTTAAAGTGCTGTCCCCCTATCTGTGAGCCAACAAAACGCTACATTGGCATCTGTTCCCATTCCATGTCCCATTGTCTCTGTTCTGGTTTGTAGCTGGAGGATGGTGACCTTCCTCCCGCCTGCCCTCCTCCCACCTTCACCACTTAACCAACTGGTGGGAAAGCAGTCTGCCACTCACAGCACTGCTCTGATTGGGAATGGTTTGGCAGATGGCTACATCTGCAGAATTTGCCAGAATTTGTCCCCCTTTCACCTGCCACTTCTTCCAGCTGGGGGATCAATTACCTAAGCTGGGAGAGGTAGCAGGGGAAAGGAAAGAGGACTCTCTTTACTCACTGGGTGTTCCTGGGTTTGGAAACCTATCAAATCTGGTATTTGTGTGATTGTTTTCCTCTATGACACTTCACAGCATAACTTACCTGCACCTATCAACTCTTGTTCAGACTGCTTTTGAATATGGGCTTAGTGCTCTTCTAGAAGAACAATAAACCTATGTTCAAAAACAGTTTGAAAAACGGCTGGTTGGCATAGTTGAGCAGAGGCTGAACCATAGAGCAGCAGAGAGCCATCCCTCTCTCTCTCTCCTGCTTCACAGGGCAGCCCCTCCCACTGCCATTGCTGGTCAGGGATTGGTTCAGAGACCTTGCACAAACAATGGGAGACCCCGGCCAGAAAGATCCAAACCCTTCGGCTGCTCAGAGCAGATAGTCCTGGAGAGCTGTGTCTGGGAACTGCATAGGAAGAGTATCAAATGGCCAACAGGTGCCGAGCTGATCTCAACCCATAGAGGTCCCCTGGAAGCACTACTGACACAATGGTTGGTGAACCATGTCAGATTGCACCTGCTGTACAGTAAAACTGCTGCTTAAAGGGGGGAAACACCACTTTTACACTGGGCCACCTAAGGATGACTGTTGTCTCAAGGATGTGTTGGGGAGAAGCTGAAGGCAACATCATGGGGATACAGCAGAAAAAAGAGGTTGCAGTGCCATGTTTTTGTCACAGCTGACTGCAAGCGGGGAAGGGCCTAGACAGTCAGGACACCAGTTGAAGTCTCCTTCTGTGCCCCCAACTAGAATTTAAGCCTTCTTTGTAATCCCGGGAGCAGCTAACTGGCTACTTTGGGGCAAGGAGGGAACTTTACAGATGCTCACAGGGGCTCCATTATTCAGATATTCTAGCTTTGGCTTTCTAGAGAAAATCCCTCAATAAACCACGACTTATATGCAATGACTCTTTAGGCACCCTCATAGGCTTACGTAGCCACTAGAAGCTAACTCTCACCTTAGCCGACAGCCCCTTGCTTTTATCATCTCTTAACTGAAGGAGGAAAGCAACAAATCCAAATCAGTTCAGTAGGAACGACCCAACTGTTTGCAGAAGAGGCATAGTGGGAGAAAACAAACTGCTTAAAATCCTTGGCAACAGTAAATAATTATCCTGGGGGAAGGGGTATCAGTCAGTGAATAATTTACATGCATGTCCATCTCTCACAGTGTTTTGCAAAGGTAGGATTGAAACACTCAATAGTTGCTTTGGTTTCCTTCCCTACAGCAAAATTTACCAAGCTCTGGAGAGGTGTACACAAATGCCAGCATGCTGACACACATACACATATACTAACAGCCCAAAGAGCAGCAGCAGCAGTGATGGTCTTCTCCTACGCTCAAGGCCTTGTACAAATGGCAACCAAAGAAGACATCCAAAATGCTGACTTAGTGGAATGCCAGTCACTCCATCTGGAACGTCTCTCAGCCCATGAAAAGTATCGCTGGCCTTAGGGACCTGCATGGATGGCCTGGAGCAGATTCCTGGGTTGTTTGCAGGCTAAGAAGCTGGAGGAGACACCCAAGTACATTCCAGCTTTTCCACTGATGTGGATTAGGAAGGGGAGGAGACCAATAGGACAGGAAAGGCTGAGCTAGAAACTGTAGTGAAAGGTCCATTTGGACATCAGTTTTGCACCTCACAGGTGACAGGCCAAGAAAATAGTGGCAGGGACCAGGTGAAGAGGACTGGGCTTTCTAGGAGCCTCCTCCAGCCATGTCTTTGGAAGGCCATAAGTCACACAAGGTATGCAGCAAAGTTGTGGTGGTTCAGATGGGTCTCTCAACCTTCTTGATGCTCATTCCACCTTCTTGGCTTTCCGCTTCCGGGTTCCTTCATTGAGCTCCTCCCTTGATTTGGCTGGCAGCTGAGGTGGTGGTGGAAGGGATGGCTCCTGGGATCCTCCATGGTGGTGGTGGTGGTGGTGGTGATGGTCATGGTGGTGATTGTCATGACTGGCAAATGCAGAGCCAAAGAGGATGGGGCACACCACATTTTCAAGAGGTACAAACGGTGAGCCGTGGGAGTGAGTTGCTGTCAAGGACACCTGCTTGCCAAGAAAGGGCTCCATTAGTGGTCACCTACCTTGCCAGTTTTTCTATTGCTCAGCCAGCTACAACAAAAGGAACTGCTTACAACCTGTGTTTCTTCCCATTCCTCTTAGCCCTTCTTACACCAAGGTCAGTAATGGAGGGCTTACATAAATCTATTGTCTTGGCCATCAAGCTCTTCTTAATGAAGTGCAGGTACCTACTTCTGTGGGATCCCCAGAATTCCAACCTAGAGCCAGTAGCACCCACAGCTGTACTGTTGGAAGCCCACTGGAAAGGTCTCCATTGTTAAGCAATCCAACAGTATTTCTTAGGATACACCACCCAGACTTCCTCTGATATCTCTGGAAATTCAAAACTCACTCTAATCCACATGGGTGTCCATTGGTAGGGGAAGAGTGAGTGATGTCACATGCATGTCATGATCTCATCATGCAAATGATGTCAGGGATGTGACTTACACAAATGCCATTGGTGTCAGTGAAGGGACCGATGCAAATTACATAATTTGAGCTCACGACGTGTGATGTCACTGTGGCTTCTACCAGATGCTTTGGTTAATCCATAGGGAGATTTGTTAGTTTGGACTTAGCAAATTGTGGAAATTGTGGGAAATTGTAACCCATGGTTAATAGCTTAGTGTGATGTATAAGCCAACCACTGTAGCTTAGTCAACTAACCATGGCTTAGTATAATGGATGAGCCCAGTGCCTGAAGCCTTCAAAGGGCATCCTTTCCCTACTTTTCTGGGGAACTTCCAGTGAGCAGAAACAGTTTTGGTTCCTTTCCCACTAATTCACCCACCCACTCACATGTGCCCCACAGCAGAGGAATTTACCTTGCAGATGATCATAAAAAGAGTGAAGAAGAAGATGAGGGTGGCTTCGGAGATGGGCAGCCATTGGGTTTGCTGAAGGGTGAAGAGCACTGCTCCATACAGACTGGCTTTGGATGGGCTGCAAGGAAAGAAAGTCCTTATAATCTAGAACAGTATTTCTCAACCTTGGCAACTTTAAGATGTGTGGACTTCAACTCCCAGAATTCCCCAGCCCGCCATAACGGGTGGGGGGATCTCGGGGGTTGAGGATTCGGGGAATAAAAAAAACAACGGGGAGGACAACAGGGACAGGAGCGCAG